TCTTTGATTTTTCCTTTTTAATACAAATTTGATTTCTTTGATTTTGGCTTGTTGGCCTCCAGGGAAATCTTCATATTTCCAGGATCTCCAGGACCTTCCAGGAGCTCTCCCGCGTGTCCCAGCTCCACCAGGTGACCCCCAGGGCGATGAGGGATGAAATCCCTGATCTCAGTGGCCTTTGGGCCGATTTTGGTGCCCGTTTCTGGTGCCGGGAGGTCACACCCAGCCCGAGAAGGTGACAAACTTCACGCAGCCATCACCGCTCGGAGCCGCCGCTTTCTCCCCGCGGAAAAACCGTCCCGGCCTGGAAAAGAAGGAAGAGAGACCCAACCAGTTCCCCTGAGACATCAAAGGCTCTGGGGTTCTCCTCCGCTCGCTGCCACCCAGCCCGAAGCCACCCGGTGACACAGGAGTGACTCGCACCAGAGGCGAGGTCGTTCTCCACCAGGGCACCAATAGAGGTTTTGACTCTTCTCCCTCCAAATTTTGCTGTCCAGCGTGGTGGTTTTTTGTTATTTCCTGGAAATAAATAAATTTGGGATTTGTGACCCCTTGGGTTGGGATATTGCTGCTGACTGCAGGAAAAATTTCCTCCTTTTTTGGTTATTCTGTTCAAACTCTCCCTTTGAGCTTTTCTTGCTCAAATCTGTTCTCAGCCCAACAATTGTAATGATTTTCCAATGGTTTTTTTGGGGGGGAACAGATTTGATTCACGTTTTTGGGTTTCTGGATTTACAGCTGGGTGGAATTTAGCAGATTTGGGATAAAATGAAGGGAAAAGGGTGGTGGTCACTCCTCCGGTCACCTGCCTGCTCGTGCCACACCAGGACAATGCCACCGTCACAACAACGGGGACGGGATTTGAGTCAGAACTTCAGGAGCGGACGGAAAACATCACGAGACGAGCGGTGAGCGAGGAGTTTCCAGCAGCTCCGTGGAAAAACACCACAGAAAAAGGTCAGAAGACGTGGCTAAAAATAAAAGAATCCCCCGAATCCCACATCCCATCCTGTCCCTAATGGTCCTCACGAGGTGTTTGGGCTGGAGGCTGTTGGAGCATCCCAAAAAACCTGCCCCGCCACCGGGACGGGAATCCACTCATTTCCCAAATTCCTCCCTGGCGTCTGCGGGGCCACGTGAATTCCCGAGCTCCGGGTCCGGCTGCAGCCACGGAAATGGGCGTTTTCCATTAAAAATAATTAGGCAAATCATCCCTGGCGGGGCAGAGGCGGAGCGAGGCCGTGAGGAGCTCCGGGTGCCTGGGGCTCGGCGGCTGCGAAGGCCGGGAACAGACCAGGAACATCCCGGGAGCAGACCAGGAACATCTCGGGAATACACCAGGAACATCCCAGGAACAGACCAGGAACATCCCCAGAACAGACCAGGAACACACCAGGAACACACCAGGAACATCCCAGGAACATCCCGGGAACATCCCAGGAACACACCAGGAACATCCCGGGAAAACACCAGGAACACACCAGGAACACACCAGGAACATCCCGGGAATACACCAGGAACATCCCAGGAACATCCCCGGAACACACCAGGAATATCCCGGGAACACATCAGGAACACACCAGGAACACACCAGGAACATCCCGAGAACACACCAGGAACAGACCAGGAACATCCCCGGAACACACCAGGAACACACCAGGAACAGACCAGGAACATCCCGGGAACAGACCAGGAACACACCAGGAACACACCAGGAACACACCAGGAACATCCCCGGGAACACATCAGGAACATCCCCGGAACACACCAGGAACATCCCAGGAACAGACCAGGAACATCCCGGGAACACACCAGGAACACACCAGGAACATCCCGGGAACAGACCAGGAACATCCCCGGAACACACGAGGAACACACCAGGAACACACCAGGAACACACCAGGAACACACCAGGAACACACCAGGAACATCCCACCCATCCCAACCCGGTGAGTCTCCTTGGCATCCTGCAGATCCTCGTTGTCCTTTTCCAGAATAGATTCCCTGGAAAGCTGAAAAAGGGGCATTTGTGGTGCTCAGTTTCCTTGGGGATAAATTTTTCAGAGGGTAAAATCCTTCCCCTGGCTGTGATTCTGGAATTCTCAGGGATGTTCTGGAAAATTCCTGTTGTCCCAGCAGTGGATTTAGTGGGATTAAACCCCGTCCTGCCAGGAGATCCAGGATCCATTCCAAACAACCGGAGAAGGGAAAAATCACTGGAGAAAGGAAAANACGGCCGGAGGGGGGATGCAGATCTGGCTCAGCGGGCAGCCGGTGGCGCGACGCATCTTTGGGGGAAAAGGGGGAGGCTGGAAGCAGGAAGGGATGGAATTGAATTTAAAAAAGGTGTGAAAACATTCCAGGCTGTTCTATACACTGAATTAATTAATTCTTTTTGCACCAAATCCTGAACTGGGAAAACAGCCGTGAGGCGAGGAAGTGACTCCATGCGAAAGCGTTTTTGACAAATTTGTTGCTGTTTTCAAGGAGCTTCCTCTCAAAACAGGAAGCAAAATTTGTTTGGGCTCCTTTAGGTCAGAAGCCTCCACCTGCCCACACCTCCCCTTGGTTTGGGATGAATCTTTAATATTTCTACCCTGATTTCATCCAAAAAGGCTTCAGAACACCCAGAGGACGCCAGTGGCGGCTCCGTGCTGGAAAACCTCTCCAAGGAAAGGCTCTGCCGTGGTTGCTCTTCCCACAAAATCTGCCTGGCCCTTCCCACCCGGGTTTTTCCTCCCTGGCAGCCTGCGAGGCTCCGCTCTTATCACCCCTCCCACTCGTCCCCTTTGAAGTCCCAGCCTGGCCTTTTGATCTCTCCCAACGCCAAAAATTCCCCGGGTGAAACACGGCACAAAGTCGGGGAGGACACAGAGAGAATTTCGTCCTCCTCGTCGGAAAAAGAGCAAAACCGCCAGCAAATAAACCCCGGAGAAGACGGAATTAAAATCTGGGGGAATCCCAACCCCAATATCCCCAAGCAGAAACACTTTTAAGTCTTTTAATTTGTTTCTGCACGGCTCCAAAATGAAAAAAAAAACCAAACCCCAACCACGAGGTGACTTCCAAGGAAACCGAGCTGGACTTACCCAATTCTCCACCAGCGAGCACCAAATGAAACCAAAAATGGCTTGGGGAGCAGGACAATAGGAATCCTTTTATAGGATTTTGGTGTCCGTGGCTCCGGAAGTGAGACACCTCAGGGGTATGGAAATCAAATATTTAATAATCCAGACCTGCTCTGCTCCAATCCTTCAATTACTTGGCTCGACGTTGTAATTTTTAATGTCGCCGGGGTGGGATGTGAGGCTCTCATGACTGCCAGGAATGCCCCGTCCACGCATTTCCTACGGACTGGGAAATGCAGATGAGACAGCCTGGAAACAATCCCCCTCAGGATTGAACTCTGGGAAAAAAATCTGTTTTGGAGCATTTGGGGAATGGAGGTGGGATGGGACTCTGGATGGGGCTTGGTTCTCTTACAATATTCCTTCTGCTGGGAATTTTATTCCTGATAATCTGCTGGGTTTTCCCTCAGTGGGAAGAGGCTCTCCATGAATATTTTGGATGGCTCAAAGAGGCCCCAGGATCATCCCCAAATCCTTCAGCATCTCCCAGTCCACCTTTTCCTCAAGGTCCTGGGAACATCTGGGTGCCCTTGGTTGGTCTTGAGCTGCGGGACCCAAATCGGACACAGCTCCAGATGTGGCCCAGGAATTCCCTGGACACCTCCAGGGGTGGTCACTCCAACCTTCCCCAAGCCCCTTTTCCCTTTTCCAGGTGGAATTTTCCCAAATTTCCCACCCTGAGCCTCCCCTGGCACAGCTCCAGGCCGTTCCCTCTTGTCCTGGCTCCGTTCCCTGGGATCAGATCCCAAATCTTCCCTGGAGGAGCCCAAAATTCCTCCTGGATCCCCCTTTTCTCCAGGCTGAGCCCCCNACTGGGTGGCGCAGGGCTGCGGGCACTTGGCGCACTTCTGCAGGCAGGCAGGGGGCAGGCAGGGCTGCTTGCACTGCTCGTAGTAGTAGGACATCTTGGGGAGGTGCTTTGGGAGTGGGAAAAAGCTGGGAAAAAGCTGGGAAAGAGACAAAAAGATAATGATCGGGATATTGGTGCGTTCTTATCGAGGCACGACTCGCGGCATGAGGTTGCGGTGGGTTTGTGTTTGGATGAGGAAAGGAATGTTAGGAAAAGATCCTGGGTTCTGGAGTTGGAAGGGACCCACAGGGATCTCGTCAAGTCCAGCTCTAATTTCCATAAAGGTTCCTCCAGCTTTATTCTGCGTAAATTTGAAGCTGAAGGCGACCCCATGGTCTAGAGGGAGTTAAACGCCAAATTCAGAAGGCAAAGCTCCCACTGCGTCCCAGGTTGTGCCTGTGGGCCAATCCCAGGCTTTTTATGGAATTAAAATTCTGCCAGAGAACCCCTTCCTTCACTGGGAGCCTGTTAGGAAGCCTCGAGCCACAAATCCTGAATTTTATGACATTTCCGACTTTGTAGAAGCGGTAACACAAAAACACCCCAGTTCCTGCTATTCCCAGTTCCTGCTGTTCCCAGTTCCTGCTGTTCCCAGTTCCACCAGCAGATGTTCCAGGACTCGTCTCTTCCTTATCAGATCCTCACGCCCACCTGGGCACGTCCCCCAGGCTGGGAATTCCCAACCACAAAGCCCAGAGGCCACAAATCCCCGCCATTATCCCATGGGATCATGGAGTGGTTTGGGCTGGGAGGGATCTCAAAGATCATCTCGGTCCAGCCCAGACCAAGCTGCTGCAAGACCTGTCCAACCTGGCCTTGGACACTTCCAGGGATGAGGAATCCATGGCATAACCTTGGCCAGGGCCTCACCACCTGCACGGTTTCTTCCCAATACCTAAATTTCCCATTTTTCAGTGCAAACCCATTCCGTGACTTGTCCCTGAAATTCCTGAGGAAAATCTCTCTCCGGCTTCCCTGGAAGCCTCTGCAGATCCCAGCCCTGAGCTCTCCACAGGCTGAACATCCCCAGCTCTCCCACCCTGATGATCCCCCAGATCCTGGGACTTCACTGGAATTTTTTTGGGAGATTAATGGGGCTCATCCTTCCGCAAGGCCCAGAGGCTGCAGCTCCAATTTCCAGCTCATTTCCTCCTCTTGGCTTCTCCCAGGGATCTCCCCCGGCTTTGCCTGCAGGAATCCTGCATTCCCTCCTTCCCGACAGAGCCTCTTCCCACCCATCCCGTTTGAAGTCCCAGGAGCTGCTCCACGGCATCCATTAATTTATTTAATTCCCAGCCTTAACGAGGCAGGAGCAAATTAACCAGGATGGAACAGGAGGGAGGAGGAGAAGCAGCCACACTTCTGGACGAGGTGACTTCTCCAAGCTCCTCCAGAAGAGCAAACCCTAAATAAAACCCCCAATTCCAGCACAAATCCTAGGAGAGAAGCACAAGAGCGAAGCTCTCCTGGAACTCGGAGTGAACTCTCTTTTCCACGAGATATCCTGATAAAAATTCCCTGATAAAGCCAAGGAGGACTTACCAGAGGTCACCGGTCCTGGCGAGCGACGGAGGAGCCAAAGGAACTGGCGGGAGCCTCGGAACCCGAACCTTTTATACGGCCGGAGCGGCGTCAGCTCCGGAAACGCGGGAGCCCAGGGGGACGGACAGGTGACCACAAAGTGCCCCGGCAGGCTCCTCCTCCACATGCTTTGCATGTTTGTTTGCACCCTAATTTTTGGTGGAAGGCCTCTTCCAGGAAAGCAGGTGACGCTGAGGCAGCCGCGCTCCCATCCCGCTCATGCGGTTCCCAACGGGAATGGAGGAGTCATTAAAAAAAATACAAACCAGCGGGTGCTGAATTAATTGGTTTTTTCAGAAAGGGGTTTAATGTGCTGGGACGTTTCCGTGGCCTTATTTCCATAAATGTTGGGTTTTGATAGCTGGAGTTTTTCCAGCGTGGAATGGCTGTTATTAGGGAAGATGGGTAATTAATTGGATTTACTATGAGAAATAGCCTGTCCTAATTCTCATGGAAAGGCACAGCCAATCCTCCGGCGCTCCCACGAAACCTTGAGGATCCCGTTTTCCTGATAAATTAAATTATTTCATTCATCCAACCCATTATTTTCCACGGATTAACACCATGTATGCTTGGAAATTCCAGTGGGGACACAAGTCCAGGTTTTTTGAGGAACACTTCAAGCCATTCAAGGCAGAATAATCCTCATTTTAAAAATGTTTTTCCCTCCCAGAAAAGCTCCAGTTTAAGTGGCATTTAGGCCCAGGATGGTACTAATAATAATAATAATTTTTATTAAAGTTTTGCTGATTATGGAAAATTCATGTTTCTCCCAGACATTTCCATCACAGAGATGGGAATGTGACCATCACAAAAATGCTAAATAGGGGAAAAAAAGCCACCCCAAAACGAACCAACCCAGCACGGGCAGCACGTCCTGTTTACACCCCAAACCCGGAGAATTCCAGGCATCAGCGCCGGTTCCTTCCCAGTGCTTGGACTGGAATTCCACCCAGATCTGACGGATCTCCACGGGGTTTTTTGCCACCTCAGCTTTTCCACACACTCAGCTCCCCACGTGCAGCTTCTCCCCCTTCCCCCGAGGCTCGGCTGCCCCCGAGGCAGTTCCGGGGATGAACTGGGACTCGTGGAGTGTGGTTTGCTCATCTTAAACACCTCCTTGGCCACGGGAGGAGAAGCTGCACCCAGCAGAGCTCGGATTTGTGAGATGAATTTTTAGGCAGATGAATCCCTCCTCATTTTCTCCTCCTCGAGCTGCCGGGTGTGGAAATTTTCCCCCAGAGCAGCTTCCAATCCTTATCTTCCTGAGGAATATCCCATAATCCGGTTGGAACAGCTCCTCATTATCTCCTCAAGCTCCAGGCTCACCTCCAAACCATCTCTGAGGACCGGTCCTGCACCTCCCTTTCTACCCCGAGTTGTTTTACACCCTGTAGTTAACTTTGATTAGCCAGAAATTGGGGATTGTTTCGGGAGACGTAAAGGGACCCGCGCTCGGACAGGTGGGAACGTCACGGGGCCGGGTCGTTATCCCTAATTGGCACTCATTTGGGAATCTCCATTACGTCCCTGGGCAATCGGAGTCATTGGAGGTGTCACGTTGGTGTCGGTGAGTCAGGACCCCGCAGCGATGTCCTTCGGTGGCTCCGGTGACTCCTCCATGGCAGGTCGGGAGTTCCGGAGGGAATTCCATGAGGGAATTCCATGAGGAAATTCCATGAGAGAATTCCATGAGAGAATTCCATGAGGGAATTCCATGAGGGAATTCCATGAGAGAATTCCATGAGGAAATTCCATGAGAGAATTCCACGAGGGAATTCCACGAGGGAATTCCATGAGAGAATTCCATGAGAGAATTCCATGAGGGAATTCCACGAGGGCAGCACCCCCAGCTCCAAGGGTCTTGTGATGAGGGGCCAAAGATTTTCCAGGATCATAAAATCCAGGAGATTGGGAAAGATCTGCCAGAACTTGGAGTCCAAGATGTGTCTGAGCCCACCTTGGTCATCCAGAGGAATCTCCAGGAATTCCTTGGACATCTCCAGGTGTGGCCCATCCAAATCTCTCTGAGACTCTTCTAAGGTCTGCCCACACTTTCCAGGATGAATTTTTCCAAATTTTCCTCTCTGAGCCTCTCCTGGCACAGCTCAAGGCCATTCCCTCTTGTTGTGTTCCATTCCCTGAGATCAGATCCCAAATCCCCCCTGGAAGAGCCCAAATCTCTCCCTGGCTGCCCTTTCCAGGAGGAATTTTCCCAAATTTCCCACCCTGAGCATCTCCTGGCACAGCTGAAGGCCGTTGCTGCTGTCCTGGCCCTGTTCCCTGGGATAAGATCCCAAATTCCCCCAGGAAGATCCCAAATTCCCCCCTGGATCCCCCTTTTCTCCAGGCTGAACCCCCCAACTCGCTCAGGATTTTCCAGACCCTTCCCCAGCTCCATCCCCACTCCTGGACAGGCTCCAGCCTCTCCATGTCCCTCTTTCCATGATTTTCCAGACCTGGACACGCAATCAAGGTCCAATCCCTCCACCCCAAAAATCCTCATCTTCCCAAGCAAGAAAAGGAATTTTTTTTCTGTGTGTTTTGGTCAATTCTCACAGAAATCAGGGATTCTCCCCATTCTCCTGCCCAAGCCCTCCACGCCCATTTGCAATTAACCCTCCTGGGCCTTCATCAGGCCCAACTTTCCCCTCTGCCCATTCCCACAAGGGCCTGGGCGAGGCGGGAGGGTCTGAGCCAGCTCCAGGGCAGTGTCCAGGTGGCTCCGGGAGCCCTGGAATTTTTGGGATGCCAGGAGGATGAGAGGAGAGGACATTCAGCCTCACCTGGGCGTGAGTGGCTCCTCTGGTCCATGCCCGAGGGACAATTTGGGCCCAGCCATGACAGGAACCCAAATCCCGCCATTCCGGCCTCTTTTCCTGTTTACTGCGGAAGGTGAGCGCTCGGGGAAGAATGACAATTAGCGCCTGAGTAATTAAATCTGGGAAGGAGGAACTGGCTGTGGTTACGAAAAAAAAAATAATTCCTCACCTCTTTTGTCTCTTTGCCTTCTTTGCTTTGATTTTCTCAGTTTTTTTTCAAGAAAAATCTCTGGATTTTTTTCTGGAATTTTTTTTTTTACTTTAGTGGATAAAATTGCTTTGATCTCCATGGAAATTTTAGAGCTCACCTGGCAGAGGAACCAGGAAGATTCTACAACATTTCCTCGTAGTGAGCAGCAATTTTCTGCCAGTTTTAATTCCACAGGTGTGAAATAAACATCCAGGTGTTCATGCAGGAAGAATTCCTATTTGTTTGTTTGTTTGTTTCTGGAAATGGGAGCTCCGAGATGATTCAAATCTGAATTTTATGGACACGTGAAGGATTAATGGGCGCTCCTGCCAGCACCACGCCGGAAGGGAAAAATTAATCCAAAAACCATTTTTTTTCCCCA